CCACAGAGATCCATCAATACAACCACCTCACCTCTTTGGAGAGAGCCGTGTTCTGGCAGATGTTCTGTATTTCTTCACTGGTCAGTTCTTTAGAGCAGCACTGGTTCAGGGTGGAGTCGCAGCACTGGTGGTACTGGGGCAGGCTGTCATCGTAGCGCCGGTAGTACTGAGCAGAGACCGGGTCGCTCTCAAACATCGGGTTGAACTTCGTGGCTCGCTCCAAAGTTGGAAGGCTTTCATGCCGTCTAAAACGTCACAAGATAAAATGTTTTATTTTCACATGAAACTAAATTTACTCCTGAAACTCAAAGATTCGTCCAACCTGAGTGGATCCTCTGTGTCTTCACCATCGTACTGCTCTCGGAGCGTTCTGGCCAGGAAGAAGATGATTCCTCCAGCCACCAAGAGGAAGCCGACCACCGAGGCGATGGCGATGCCGACCACCAGCGGCTCAGAGACGTACTCCTCACAGTGCTCACCGCGGTACCACCAGTTCTCCCCAACACGACACCTGCAGCAACCAACCCCGGGTCAACCTCACCAAACCCCTCATAAAGCTAAATACTCACCAATATGCACATGATACAATATTTTATTTCACATTTAATATTAATACTTTAATGCAAATATTCACTTGTACGCAGATGGTGTGATGTTTTATTGAACAGTTGATAGAGAGGCTAAATTCAGTTTCATCCTATTTCAGTCAAATTACAATTACAGTAATTATCATAATATATAGAAAATACTAAACAAGAAGAAGACAGATAATGGTGTTTAAATTGTCAAGAACATAATTCAGAATTCAATAAAATGTTGAAAATGTAACAAAATTAATTAATTAGTTGGTTAATTAATTAATGAGGGTTAATTCACTTTTTACAGAATACCAATCAATCCTTTGGTCTCCCCTACCTGCAGATGGCGCCCTTGCCAGGAATGATGTCACATTTGCCGTCATTGAGGCAGAAGTTGTGCTGAGCATCACAGACGCTCTGACACGGCAGGCCGTCGATGCTCAGATATCCAGGATCACACACGCACTCTGCCTCTCCTGACCACTGGTTCACCATGCACTTGGAAAACTCGTTACAGGCCTGGAACTTGCAGGGATCCGCCCGGTCACCTGCCAGGTGGAGAGGAAAACGCCTCAGAGCCCATGAACCATATTAAAACAGAAACTCCACCAGAGAAAGAGCCACTCTCTCATCAAAGTCTCTGCAGCTTCTTAGACAACTCGGTTTCTTTCCAGGGACCTTGGACTGGTCTGCAAGGATGGGAAGTTGATGCTTCTATGGCAACGTCAATGTGGATTCCCTCTTTCTAATGATGCTGAAGTGCGATCATAGACTTTGGTCGGTGCTTATGGCGTGACCCCAGCCAGCCCTGCAGCCTCTAAGTGACCTGGCAGGTTTAGCTTGTGCTTGTGCAATGGAAAACGTGTCTGCAGCGAAGATGAGAGGAGTAAACTGATTATCCAGAGTTCAGACCCCAGTGAGTCACTGTTGTAGCTTAGCTTGATTAGTCAGTGAGGAGCTCCTAACAATGGCTCAGACAGATTAAAGTGCAGTCGCAACGCAGAAACAATGAGTTATTTACTCTTCTCCCATCAGGGGCGGAAAACCCAGCAGGGGTCTCTCAGTAAACCCACAGAAAACCCAGCAGCAGGTCATCAGTACTTCCAGATCTCCTAAACTCAGATCTTAGGAGTTAATTTGTTCAAAGATCCATCCAGTGACCTTTCAGACTAAACTGGTTCCTGTAGAGTTTTCTGGTTCTGATACAACAAGACATTTTAAAAGCATCCAATAAACCCATTGGTTTGAAGAAGTCATTTTTGAAGTGCAATAAACGTTTGTTCCAACATGATAAAAGGACATTATACGGATTAAACCCGGTAAACAACTTTACCTTTTAAATACTAATAGAGGAGGAAAACACCTGGTGTTCAGGCAGACGGAGACAAACAAACATGATGTTGATACTGCAGTCTGTGCCACTGCTCACGTTCCTCCCAGACGGATTATCTGAGGTATTAGATCAGATCCTAAGAGGTGAAAGGGCAACTGAGACGCTGCAGCTCTGCACAAACAGGCTGAAAACCAACCAGGCGTAAGAAGAGCCAATGGTTTCCTTCTCCTCTCGCCTCACCGTCCCTCATTTTATGATGAGGTTAGATTTAAGGGAAACCCTGTTACTCCTCTGGACTCGTCCAGGTTGGGTTGGGTCTCACCTGACTCAACATCCAGTGAGTACTTGTCGATGGCCAGGTTCATGGTGTGGTAGGCCGTGTTGGCAAAGTCCTCCAGAATCAGGTAGATGATGTTGGTGACCTCTTTGGGAACCGGTTTGCCAAAACGCATTCTGCTGTTTACAACAATGCTGCCGTTTCTGAAGTTCAGGATCTCCAGGTTCTGGAAGTTGTTCAGATTGGACTGGAGGTACGGGACCAGCTACAAAGAAAGACAGAAAGGTTACCAGAGGATCCTTAATGGGAACCTATTTAATGGAATCTGGTTCTTTGAGATTCTCACCAGCTGGATGAACTGTTGTTCTAGGGACTTGTACTCTGAGGAGCTTTTGTTGAAGAGGTTCCTGGAGAACGCCATGTTGGTGACCCTCAAGCTGAAGAACACGGTCAGAGCTCTGCCCGGCCGGCCCGGCAAAGGAAAAGCTTCCAGGTCTGAACCTCGAGCTTCACTGGAGAAGTCACTGCTGTCACCATCAGCTTCCCCAGAGCCGTACTGGAACAGGTCGAAGCTCACATCAATACTCGGCAAGTCGGAGAAGTCATAGTCGAGGTTGATGACAGAAGAGCTGTGGTTAACGTTGGGTTGTGAGGAAGACGGTGTTGGAAGCAGAGCGGTGACTTCTTCTCTGGAAGGTTCTGTTTCCACTTTCCCATGTGAAGGAGCCACTTCCTTTCCAAAATGTTCTCCTTCCTCCTCTGTTTTTACTTCTCCAGAAGAATCTACTTTTATTTCTGAAGGCTCAAGTTCCCGTAAAGATTCTTCCTCTTTCTGTTCTTCAGCAGGTTCAGATTTGCCTCCTAAAGGCTCTTCTTCAGGTCTGGAGGTCTCCAGTTCCTGTCCTGAAAGTTGCACTTCCACACTTTGTCCTTTGGGAGGGTCGGGCTCTTCTTCAGCTCCCAATGTTTGTTCTGCCTGTGATGTAGACTCTACATCCTCCACAGGAGTTTGCTTTTCTCCACCTGAAGCTTCACTCTTCACTGTCACAGTTTCAGTTTCTGAGGATTCTCCTTTGCTTTCAACTCCATGAGGTTTGACTCTGGCATTGTCCAGAGGGTCAGCTTTGTCTTCATGTTTACAGGCCATTCTTCCTCAATTCCCTCAGAAGGTTCTTCTGTGATTGTAGGAGTTCCTGCTTCCTCTCCTGGACGTTCGGTTGTCTTCATGTGTTGCTCTGAAGCTCCCAGTGTTTTCTGTCCAGAATCAGTTGGAGTCGTTTCTGCTGGTGTCGACTGAAAAACGTCTGAAGAACTGGAGCTGGTGGAAACATCAGTGACCTCGTCGTGGTGAAAGAGATCCTCATCTTCTGGCACTGAGTCAGAGACTCGAGTGAACGGCGACTCCTTTTCAGGGGAGAGAGCGCCGCTGTGGTCCGAGGCTGGGGGTAACGATGGGACCGGAGAGGCTGTGGTTGTAGTGACCACAATGACTTCATCCACAGCCAGGTCCTGGTCCAGACCTTCAGGTGAGGGTGCTGTCGGGGTGGTTCCTAAATGCTGCTCCTCCAAAATCTCAACCCGACTGGGTGCTCTTGTTTCTGGGAGGGGCGGCTCAGATTTGACCTCAGGCTGTTCTGGATCACCAGCAGCTGTTTCAGCCACTGTGACCGCCTGCACTTCAACAAATGTAGGTAGGTCCAGAGTTAGAGGAGCTTCAGTCCGGGTTTTTGGTAAATCAAGCACAATGACCTCTTCACCTTTCATGTCTGAGACAGTGACCCCCAAAAGCTCTTCCTCCATGTTTCCAGTGGCCTCTGGGCGCCTGATGCCAGAATCAGCTGGAGTCCAGGTCTTAGGGTCAGGAGAGGGCGTAACAGGAACTGTTCGGGTCTGAGGCTCAACCAGAGAGTAGTCATCATGGAAACCAGATGCTTCCACCGTTTGAACAGAAAGGTCAACAGTCATGGCTGCCTCAGTTGAAGGTGTGGTGAAGTCTGATGTGTCTGTGCTCAGTGGCGTCACAGAGACCAGAGGTTTCTGGGTACCATCAGACGTGGCGGTTCCCACCAGTAAAACATCAGCCGCTTTAGAGGTTGCTGGTTCCACAGCAGCAGCATCCGTGTCCATCTCCAGGTCAGGTGGTGGTAGGACTTCATGGCTGTCAGAAGTGATGTCAGACGTTTCTGAAGCCTCCCAAGACCAGAGATAAGAATCCTGATCGTCTCCAGAGAAACCAGAGCCAGATCCATGATCAAACGTGGCCTCAGAGGGTTTTGGAGGTGAGGTGACTGCTGAACCTTCAGGAACGACCGTCTGGTCGTCCACCTGGTGGTCATCCACCTGGTGGTCATCCACCTGGTGGTCATCCACAGCGCTGGGAGGCGTAGTGAGGAGGAATCCCTCACCTTCAATGTTTCCACCATCTGTGAAGCAAATGAACTCATTAACTGACTGATCTGATCCAGGACAACAGAAAAGGTTTTACAGACGGAGACGTTTCTTACCGTCTTTAGTTACTGGCTCCAGGTCAACTGTCTTTTGGACTTTAACGGTCTGTGGAGGTGTTGTACTTTCATCGAATAAGAAGACGTCGTTTTCACTCACTTCCTCACTGTGTGGACCTTTCCACTGGTCCCTGGTATCAAACAGGAAGTCCTCCTTTTTCAGGAAAACCTGGCTGGTGTCTGGCTCATGGATCGGCGCATCAGGAGGTTTCTCTGCAGCCAGTATGTTATCCTGAAAACAAGGAGCCATCGTTCAGCCTCTACTCATTTAAGTCTGTCAAGTTTAGAGTTTAGTTGAATTTGTCTCACCATGTTGTTGTAAGCTTCATCCGATTCACTTGTAGGTTTCACAGGAGGAACGTTCCCTGCTTCAAATACAAAAACACTTCAGTGAAACAGTCAATATTTCTTTAATATGTTCATTAAAGTCAAGTTAAGATTGATTTTATAGCACATTTCATCAACAAGGCTGTTCTAAATGCTTTACACCATGAAAACATCACTTATAAAACAAGCAATAAACATTAGATTTTCAGATCTGGGGCCTGATCACCAGATTCTAAAGACCAAACAAGCAGAGGTACCGTTTTCCAGGCTGTCCAGGCTGCCGTTGTTCAGGACGTTGTCTTTGTGCAGAGCTTCGGTGATGTAGTTACGGAAATCAGTGATTGTGTAGATGACGGTGCTCAGCAGAGCCAACGTAGCTGCGCTCCACCTGATTATTCTGCAGAGTGATGAAGTCCAGAGTGTCGCTGGAGATCCCACCGCTGTCCACCTCCAGGTCCAGAGTGATGGCGTAGTGGACCTGCACCACCAGACCCCTGATAGGACCAGAACACAGAGGAACAGCTCAGTCAGCATTCAGGTACAAACACCATCCAATCATCAAGGAAACGACAACAACATCTGAAGAAACAATTTATTTTTAGACAGTAAATTAGTGCAAAAGTTGCTCTGTATGTGTTTGACTGGATCTGGTTGTTGTCTGATTATTACATTCAACCTGTTTATCTCGTCTGTTAGTTCATGCTGACGCTGAGGAACGGCTGAACCTGGTGACCTGCTGGATGGTCTGTGGAGTCTGGGCCGGTCTGACGGAGCGGTGAGAGTAGAGTTGGTCATAAAGCTTTAAGGTAATCCTGTAACGGCTGCAGGTGGCCGCCGAGCGTCTTATCCCACTTAAGACCTGATTGACTATCAATAAGGACATTAAGCAGACAGCGGAGCGACAGACCTGTTGTTCAGTGCAACAGGTGAGCAAAGACCTGATCCAGAGGACCAGGCTGCCCATCAACAGAACCAACTTGCCGTGAACTCCAGTGGATCAGCCTTTTTAAATCTTACATTATCTCAGGTTATTGAGGCTTTTCTATATTTTAGTTTCCCGTCGGCCTGAAGCTCCTCTGCAGCAGGTTTACACCTCCACAGCCAGCTGGAGGGGCATTAATCAGTGTTCCTGCCAGAAAGGGGCCAGGGGTTAAGTCACCCATAAAGCCTGACAAGACGTCAGGGTAGACGCCAGCTAATCCTTCAGCAGAAGTGAAAACACACGTCCCAGAGCTCCAGAAGTTGTGGAGAGGAGGCAGCAGGGCTACAGGTTATGGATTAGCCCAGCTGCACAGAGCCCTAATGAAGCAATGTTTGGGAGGCCAAGACAGAATGAGGACAAACTTACCGCTGCAGGTCCTTCTGAGGCCTGAAAACACAAACCAAACCAGAAATGAGCCGACAAAACCAGGAAAAACGTGAACATTCAAAATGACAGAGAAACTGAGCTTTTTGTCCAGCTTGCTTTTAAATCCAAAGTTTACTACTTATAAATGACAGTTCCTGAGGTCAGCTGTAATCTAAGTCAATTAAACAGTACCTGAATTCAATTATGTCAAGGCTCTTGAAGCCTGGCAGCCTGTCGAAGGCGACTTCAACCTGTCAGAGGAAACACAAGTTAAATCCTGCTGCAGTTCGGACCAGAACAACCAGAGGAGGTTCGTTACTCCAGAACCGCTCATCTATAAAGGTCATGGTCATCACTTACTGGTCCACTCTGATTTTAAAGCTTTTTGTCATTGTTCAAAGGTCATCATTCAAACTCAAACTGAAGCAGTATTAGCGGATGGAAGGTGAAACATGTTCAGGAACCAGGAAATGTTCTGTTCATTCCCTTCCAGGATGTTAGTCTCAGCACATCTGGACCGTTTGGGGTCATTCAAAGAGCCACAACAGAAGAGCCTCAGTGGAGGAAGGAAAGCTAAAGGTCTTCCTAATAAAGACCGACACTCAAGTTTTTAATGAGTGAAATCTGCAGCTCAGACCTTTCAAACAGAGTACAGTGGCCTGTGGCTGCCCTTTTCTTCTTCTGCTGATTCTATTAGTGCAGTTATCCACTTCATATTCCCTCATTAAAGATCCTGACCATGACATTCAAACCATAAACTGCTTTCCCGCGTCACTAACATGGAGCGAGGCCCATAAACCTCCCAGTGGAGCGGGAACACACCGGCGCTGCGCTCTGCTTTCCTGGCAGCGCAGCTTTTTCCAGCGGCTCGAGGTGAGTCACTGCTCGTATACTGTATGTTCTCCGCAGCCTCCGCGGCTCGTATAGCTGCTCTCTGGCAGCCGCAGCAAGCTGAGCTGTAATGCATAAAGATACTTAAAGCGTGAAAGTCAGGCGAGGCCTTTAAACCGGAGCCAAAGTCCTGAGTCTGCAGTTTGGAAGAAACCACAGGCAAATCAGTTTGGTTCTGAGTGAGTGTTGTGGACGTCAGAGAGGGAAAGAGACTCAAAACAAGAAGATGGTAACAACACAGAATCATTTTCAGTGGTGCTGATGAAACCATGAGGAGAAACTGAGCTGAGGGGCAGGAAGACGGAACTGCTGCTCAGAAACACCTTTCTGAAAAAGACCTGCATAAGTTAGCTTTCAGTGGGTTCATTGACCTTTGACCCTTACACCTCTGGTATAGACTGGACAGACGCTCACCCTGCGTTTGAACTGCTTGGCCAGCTGCTGGTACTGGAAGCTGCTGGGGTCTCTCAGAGCGTTGCTGTAGGTTTCTCCCTTCAGTTTGATCCGCTGCTCCACCACGTACTCCTTCAGGGGTCGCAGGGGTCGCAGCAGCGTGTCGTCTATCTCGTTACCAATCTGACAACACAAAATATACCCAGAGGATGATCTGATGATGGAGTCAACACTTAAACATTGTGAAATGTTCTACCTCTGCTTACCGAGTTATCGTCCTCTTCCACCTCCACAAAGTCATTGTTCCCCAAAAAGATGTCTTGTTCTACGTAGGGTCGGACTGCTACATCTGGAAAGTTTCCATTGTTGGTTTCCACTACGTACTTAGGAGAGTGTGTTGTAGACCGAATGGTTGCCTCCTCGGTGGGTCCCACTGTTGAGGTTCCTAGTGGAGTTTCCTCTGCTACATCTGGAGCTTTGTTAGCTGGTGGGAGAACCATTAGGGTACCGTTCTCTCTTGGTAAAACATTTTCCTCAGAGGGACGTTTCTCAGGGACGACAGTTTCTCTTGTTTCCTCAGGGATGATAGTGTCTACTGTTTCTTCAGGGAGGACAGTCTCAGTTGTTTCCTCAGGGAGGACAGTCTCGGTTGTTTCCTCAGGGAGGACAGTCTCAGTTGTTTCCTCAGGAACGATAGTGTCCACTGTTTCCTCAGGGAGGACAGTCTCAGTTGTTTCCTCAGGGAGGACAGTCTCAGTTGTTTCCTCAGGGAGACAGTCTCAGTTGTTTCCTCAGGAACGATAGTGTCCACTGTTTCCTCAGGGAGGACAGTCTCAGTTGTTTCCTCAGGGAGGACAGTCTCAGTTGTTTCCTCAGGTACGACAGTCTCAGTTGTTTCCTCAGGAACGATAGTGTCCACTGTTTCCTCAGGGAGGACAGTCTCAGTTGTTTCCTCAGGGAGGACAGTCTCAGTTGTTTCCTCAGGTACGACAGTCTCAGTTGTTTCCTCAGGGACGATAGTGTCCACTGTTTCCTCAGGGAGGACAGTCTCGGTTGTTTCCTCAGGGACGACGGTCTCGGTTGTTTCCTCAGAGGGACGTTTCTCAGGGACGACAGTTTCTCTTGTTTCCTCAGAGATGATAGTGTCCACTGTTTCCTCAGGGAGGACAGTCTCGGTTGTTTCCTCAGAGGGACTTTCTCAGGACGACAGTTTCTCTTGTTTCCTCAGATGATAGTGTCTACTGTTTCTTCAGGGAGGACAGTCTCGATTGTTTCTTCGGGGACAACCGTCTCGATTGTTTCTTCGGGGACAACCGTCTCGGTTGTTTCCTCGGGGACAACCGTCTCGGTTGCTTCCTCAGGGACAACAGTCTCAGTTGTTTCCTCAGGGAGGACAGTCTCGGTTGTTTCCTCAGGGACGACAGTCTCCACTGTTTCCTCAAGGACGACGGTCTCGGTTGTTTCCTCAGGGACGATAGTGTCCCTGTTTCCTCAGGGAGGACAGTCTCGGTTGTTTCGTCAGGGACGACGGTCTCGGTTGTTTCCTCAGGGACGACAGTCTCCACTGTTTCCTCAGGAACGACAGTCTCCACTGTTTCCTCAGGGACGACAGTCTCGGTTGTTTCCTCAGGGACGACGGTCTCCACTGTTTCCTCAGGGACGACAGTCTCCACTGTTTCCTCAGGGACGACAGTCTCCACTGTTTCCTCAGGAACGACAGTCTCCACTGTTTCCTCAGGGACGACAGTCTCGGTTGTTTCCTCAGGGATGACAGTCTGGACAGTTTCCTCAGAAGGAGGCTTGATGGACCCTTTTTCTGATATTGTCACTAAAAGGGCTTTGGTCACAACTTCTGCAGGTGTTTCACTGGGTTTCTCAGCTTCAGGAACATTTTCAGTCACTTTGATCGCAGGTTCAACCTCATGTGAAGGAGTTTCTTTGATGGTTTTGCCTTCAGAACCATATGGAGATCCAGTTACTATGTCTTGTCCAATAGTTCCCTCCAACTCAGTCACAGGTAACTCTTCTGAGTCTTCCGGGCCTTCAGTGGTTACAGTAGTCACTTCTTTTTCAGGCGTCTGTGGTACTAACAAGTCCTCTGGAGCATCTGTTGTTCCTTCGGCTACTTTATCTGATGTATCAGAGGTTCTGTCGTCTCCGACCTTAAATGGTTTCCCTGTTGCATCTGAAGATGTTGGAGGAACACCAGCTTCATCGGGTTTTAAATGAGGTTCAGTCTCTTCAAGTCCTTCTGTAGGTTCCATTTTACCAGAAGGTTCTCCTGCAGGTTCACCTGGTGCTGGTTGTCTTTTAAGTTCTGCTATTGTTTCAGGCTCTTTGGGGAATTCTGTTTCTGCTACAGATTCCCTGGGGACTTCCTCTCCCGGTTTTGGGTCTTTAGCTGGTTCTGATTCTTGTGGTGGTTCTCTGGTAGGTTCTTCCTTGTATCCTGTTTCCATTGGAGGTTCCAATTCTGCAGTTGGTTCTCCAGTAGGTTTTGCTGGTGGTTCTTTTACTGCCTCTTCAGAGGTATCAGTTGTTTCTGGCACTAATGCTGGCCATTCAGTGGTTGCTGGAGTTTCTTTGACTCCTTGTTCAAGTTTTGTTTTGTGTAGATGTTCTTCATCAGTTTCTACTTTGGGGCCTGGTTCTCTTGTAGGTTCTGTTTTAGTTGGTTCCTCTGTGTGGTCAATTTCTTGAGCTGGGTCAATGGTTAATTTGGCTTCTTGTGTTGTTTCTTTTATGAGTTCAACCGCTGGAGCTGATTTTTCTATGTGTAAAGAATCTTGTGTCGGTTTCTCAAATGCTCTGGGTGGTTCTTCCACAGCCTTTGCTTCTGGAGCGGGTTCTTTGGTGGGTTCTGCTCCTTTTCCTGTCTCTGTGGAGGAGACTGTTGTCTGTTCTGGATCTCTTGTGGGTTGAGGTCTTTCATCTTTGGTTGATTCTGTGGGTTCAATGATTGGTTCTCTTTCTTGAGCTGATTCTTTAATTTGTTTGGGTTCTTGGCCTGGTTTCTGTGTTGACTCAAGTTCTTGCACTGGTTCTTGTTTCAGTTTTACGTCTGGATCTTCTTCTTCTTTGTCTTGATCGATGATGGAATCTATTTCTTGTGAAGGCTCTATGGTAAATTCTGGAACCAGTGATGGTTCAGGGGACTTAGCTTCAACAGTTTTTTCTATGGTTGCAGTTTCTTCAGCTGGTTTGGGTTCTTGTGGTTTAGTGGTTGGTTCTGGTCCTTGTGTTGATTCTCCCAAGGGATTTACTTCCTGGGCTGGTTTAACAGAGTCTTCAGGTTCCTTTTCTAGATCTCCAGCAGCTTCTGTCTTTTCTTCCGCTTCCTTTATTGGTTCTATGACCATATCTGGAGATGGTTCTACTGTGGGTCGCGGAAACTGTTCTGGTTGAACTGTGGGTTCTGTTGCTTTTGCTTCCACTGTGTCTGTGATTTCCATTTCTGGAGTTGGCTCTGTCTGTGCTGGTGGTTTTGTGGTTGGTTCTGCTTTCTGTTTTGTCCCTAATGTGGAACTTATTTCTTGGACTGCTCCCCTGGTGGCCTCAGGTTCTGGTGCTGGATCTCTGGTAGGGTCTGTTCTTTGTTCTTTGGCTACTTTCTGTCCAGTTGATGGTATTTCTGTAATTTCGCGTGTGAAAGTCAACTCTCTTTCAGGTTCTGCTCTCTCAAGAGTATCTAACTTGAGTTGCAGGTCATGTGCCGGTCTCTCAACCATCCTGTCTTCTGCAGGTTCTATGTCATCTCCTGGTTCGGTTTTATCTTCTGCTGTTTTTTCTACTATTTCTGGTTCCTTTGAAACAGTTCCTGGAGGTTCTCCTGCCTGTACTGTTTCTCCTGCAGGTTCTGGTTCATGTGCAGTTTCCTCTCTTGGTGCTGGTTCTTCTATAATGTCATGTTCACCTTGTTCTTTGGGTTCTGCAGATGTTTTAGGTTCAACAGATCCTCCAGTAGCTTCCGTCACTGGTTCCTCTTCAATGAACTTCTTGTCCAATGGTTCCAGCTGCTCTTCTGATGGATCTGTTCCCTGAATAGTGGTTTCTTCTGTCTGAAAACTTTCTTTTTTAGCACTAGCCTCTGTTTCCCCTTCCAACATATTATCTTCTGTAAGTATAACTGTTCTTTCATGTTTTGTTTCCACCTCTATCACATACTCTGGCGTTGATGTCAAAACAATAACACTTTCTTTGGTAGTTTCCTCAGGTGTCATTGTCTGTATTGTTCCCATTTCTTGAACAGTGTTTCCTTCTACCATAAGTAGAGGTTTGATTGTCATCTCAGTAGTTTGTCTTATTTCATCCATCTTTCTGGTAGTCCTCAGGATGGAGGCCTGAGAGGGAACGGCTCTATCTGATTCTTGCTCTGGAATCTTGTTGATTTCCGTCTCGTCTTCAGACTCTACCATCAGAAACACAGTTGGTGTTGTTTCTTCTCTGATCTCTTCTTGGCTAACATCTATTGCTGCCTCTGATGGATCATCTACCTGTGGCGTTTTCGCCTCACCTTCAGAACCTAAAGAAACATCAGTCTCAGGCGCAACAACTACAGTTTCAACAATGGGTTCCTGTACAGGCTCTCTAGGTGTCTCAGTCAAAGTAACACCAGGGCTGGGATCTAAAGCGTTATCCAGATTTCCTCCTGGATGGGGCTAACTAAACTCCAAGCAGTTGTTTCAGGTGTGTCTTCAACAACAACAGGAGTGAAAACTGGAGTGAAGGCTTCGACAGTAGGGGGCGTGGTGGGCTTTGGAAGAACCACAACTGCAGGTTCTGTGAGGATTTCTTGAGCAACCAGCTGGGCTGATGGTTCCTCATCCTCTGGTATTACTACAGACACACTGTTCAACTCTTCAGTAGTAGTTTCAAGAAGCTGTTCTTCTACTCTGCCAACATCAGTCCCAATTTCCTGACCCATCGGGTCAAAAGGCTTGTGCGTAACCGGGTGATAAACATCTGTGATCATCTCTACAGTCTCCTCTGAAGTGACTCCAACATTTAGAACGTTTCTGACGACCTCAGCTGAACTCTGTGAAGTAATAATCGGTACAGTTTCCAGGATATCATTAGAGTCTTCTGGCCTGGCGTCAGCAGCAGGGTCAGCGGTTAAATCCACAGGAGAAGTCACTGCAGCCTCTTTAAGCGGAGCTTCGGTTGCAGACAGTGATGGAGTCCAAGAGGTGACTGGAGAAAGCTCCTGCTGACGGACTGTAATAGCTTCTGATCCAAAGACGACACTGTTGTCTCCTGTGAAAAGGAATTAGTGGAAGCTCATATGAAGGTTAGAACAAAAGAGCAAAGGAATATCTGCTGCTAGGTAGGGGGCGCTACCATGTTCTTTAGTCAATTTCATGCATTACATCTCTTCAATGGTTCAAACAAAACCTGCAATAACCTTAAAATAAGGATTTGCTGGACTTCATGAAGGGTTAAAGTTCACTGTTTGACTTTTGTGTATTGAATGAAGCCAATGAGGCTTTCTGTTCTCTAAGCTTCACAGGACAACAGTGAAAGTTGCTCTCAAACAACCTGAAGGTTGAGCTGAATGTCGGGTTTGGTGAAACGGTTCTGAAGTCATTATTCTGCAGCAGGTCTGGTACTTCCTGGTTTGAATGTGTAACCTGGAAACGCAGCCAGCCTGGTGATGCTGCCTCTACAGGTTGCGATAGCCTGTAGCTAACCCTGATAGCTAACTCAGTCCGCTCTGCATGTCCCGCTCCGTCTCCGTCCATTGCCCAGGCTGCTGCCCGTAAATAGGCTTACAGGTCTATTCTGAGAGCGGAGCCTGTGACGGGAATCAACCCCCCTCACAGACACACACTGGGGTGTAAGGTGAGGCACGGCAGCTCCAGACTCTCCAACCTGGGCTGAACACCAGGCCTCATGCTGAGCAACTTCTGCTCCAACCTGCAGGGGCAGGTAACTAATCCCCATGTTCCTCCAGGGCATCCATAGAGAAGAATATTTCTACTGAAACTCTTTAACTTTGGTTTGAAGGTTTCTGCAGCCTGATTATGGCTAATGTTCAGGAGCTGCTTGGAAATGAGAACTGGTGAATAATCTCATCTCTACTTCAGGGACAATATTATCATCGAGCCAAACAGTAGGAGCAACGCAACACACACAAACTGCTTTCATTCACTGATGTTTAGATTTCATTTCTCAGTGAGTTCAGAGTAAACTAA